CAGCAAAAAGAATTTTTGATATAAGGAAGATATTTGAAAACACTCCTCATTGAATATTTTAAAGTGCCTGTCTCCCTAAATCTATTCTCTTCGAATTTTTGATTGAATTTTTTGTGTGAAGAACGCCATGTTTCATCACTCCCATTGACCCAAAGCCAGACCGCATCAATACGCCCCTGACACACAGATGGGAGTTTTTCGTTCATTTTTGATAAATCAATTTGAGTCTGAGACTCATTAAATTTATTACATAAATGACAAGTACTCAGTGCCCTTTTAAAATGAAACGTTTGTTCAATTTTGTCTTGTTTTCCTTCAGTTAAAAATTTGAGAGGATCGAGATCTTTTGTTGAATGATTACTTGATTTTTCAACATCAAATTTCTTGTTGTAATCGATCAACGTTTTTTCTGAGTATGTAGGAATTCCATTCCAATATATTTGATGTTGAACTTTCAAATTGAGTTTTTCATGATCCAATTTATCAAAAAAATGCTTCTCAATTCATTAATTCGAGAACTTGTATTGTCTGCATTGTTTGGAGTTAAAATCTCTTGTTCTGAAAACCTGACTATAAACACAAAAAATCGATAGTATAAAGGTATGAAACTGAAAAACACAAGAAAGACAGAAAGGAAAGAAAATGCAATAACGTTGACAATCGATAAGATAGTGAGCATTAAATGAAAAGTTCTTTTCGATATTTGTTTTTTATAAATTGGATAAAATTAAAAAGTTATTTGTATTTATTCTTAAAGTTATTTTGTTGTAAGTTCATATATTTCTTAAACATATAAATCTAATAATAATTGTTTTATAGTATGGAAATAAAAACAATAAAAGTAAAAAATCTAAAAAATATCCTTTATTCGAAATTTTTTAAGTAAATTGTATTTTTAGAAACAAGGTATAAAACTTTTTCAAAAATTAATTAAGTCCCTTCATTTTTATTTGTTAGTTAAAATCCTCTTGTATGATTTTTTAAAATAAGAACATTTTTATCCAATATTATTTATTTCTAAAGTAATTTAATTACTTTTGAAAAAATTAATGACAAAGTACGTTTTTAAATATTTTGTGATCACATTTTTTTATAAATTGTGATATTACTTAGAAATTCATACATATTAACTTAATTAAATTATACCAACAACAGATAAACCTTTTTATAGAATAAAAAAAATAATAAAAATGCTTTATTATTTTAACTTAATTTTATAGATTTAAAAAAATGTTAATAAAATAAAATGTGTAATTTTGTTTACAGTAAAGGCTGAATATGCCCAGTGGAGACTTTTTGGGTTAAAGTTATTGATTTGTATTATAATTATATTTTTAATAACTATTCAAACCATTGGTTGCGGTTATAATAACAGAAACACTTTTATCTAGTATATATTTTTTGTTTTTCAAAAATGAGTAATTTATTCTTAACTGATACTTTGTGAAAAATGGAAGTTCACCAACTTCAATAAAACCTCCCCAAAACCTCTGAAGAGTTAATTCTTTCAAGAGCGGGCATTTTTGAACTGTAACTAAGAAAAGAGTTTTCTATCGAGCGGTAATAAAGGTTTGATTGACTAAACATGCCCGCTCTTGTGAGGTTTTTTTGAATAAGTTTTGATTTATGATAGGCTAATTATTCCCATTATTTTAAGCACAAACACACTTTAAATGTGCAAATAAGTATAATTAAATTACTGAATTTAAACAACACAATTTCTTTCTTGAGAGTGACTAAACAAACAACTTTCGTCACACTTTTCACATGAAAGTCCGTTTCTGTAATAGTTATCTACACAAGTCACACACCCACCTGATGGCAAAAACAATGTGCATATTCCATCCAAGTATTTTTTTGTCATACACTTGTGATTGCTCAGGAATTGTTTGTAGTTGCACAAAAAAATAAGTTGAGTTTGTGTCACGACTAAAACATTTTTTGTTCGTCGTTTTATTAATGTATCAACCATCTTCACATTTCGTACATTTAATAAATATCTTTTGTGTGCAATTTTTAATTTTTTAATATATATGATTAAAAATATTAAATTTACTCAATTTTAGTTGTACACCTTCCATTTTTGTCATTTAAATTTACTAGTATCAATATCACATGTGCCATTTAAATTCATTTTGCTTTTGTCATCACGTTTTGTTGTTTTTCCATTTTCACATAACATGATTT